GATAGGTCTCCGACTAAACCTCCAAATCGGTATCCCAATGCAGTCTTCTAGTCTCGCTACTGCATCTCCAGGAGGTGCCCATCATGCAAAACCTCGGGGTGGTCTTGGTTAAGCTCCAACCGAACCTTGCAAAATAGTTCATGCTTCGATAAAGTGCTTCCTCCCTTGTGCCCCACGCGCCACTGTCGTGCGGTGCGTTTCTTTATGGCCTTGCCGTGGCAGACGGGCCGTTTTGCGATGCCGTGCAATGTTTTGGAGCGCCGTCCTACGGCGTGCTTCTCTTGGATGTAGGCTTGGATGTTTGGTTGTCCCGTGCGAGCATCTGCGTCTGATAATAGCGTGCTGTGCTGTGGTGCTCTTGCTATAGTATGAATGATTTTGTTTGCTGGCGCTAGTTGTTCCGCTGTCAGCCATGGCAGTTCGCGGGGACGCATCAGGGGAAGCGTGAGTTGGGGAAGATTGATATAAGAAGACGATACAGGGAATGAGCATGAAACTCATAATGGACGATTGACGTGAACGGATCGTCGCAGCATGGTGCGGCGCAGTATTCTTCGTTGAGTGTTTGACGAGCGTGCCGCGCTTGCCACGACCGCGCTTGCTAGTGAAGTGCGATGCTGGGAGAGTGCAGCGCTGATGGATGGCTCCCAGCGACAGCAATCGCCATTCGATCATGGGTGCTCCCGAGCAGCAACGAATAATATCGATGTGGGCTGAGTCAAGTGTGGGAGTGTTTCCATGTTGGAACAGCGTATACGTGAACCTGAAAACTGCCGCCAGAACGTATCTTTCGCACGTGCGGGTTCGAGTTAAACTTTCGACATGCAGACGATTCGCGCTTTGCCGCAAGTCCGCCCCGAATCATTCCCAACCATCGTGTGGGTTTGGGTCCTTGTTTTGCAGAGACGGTCCCCGCGTTCCTCTCCTCTTCTCTCCGCTCCTTCTCCTCCTCCTCCCTTGCCCGTCGCCCCCCCTGACTTTGGCACGCCCCTCACACGTTTCGCGGCTCCATAAGGGGGCGCCACCGAAGGCCCACATGCCAGCGTTCGCATGCGGTCACCGCGCCCATTTTGGTACACCCTAGGGCGATGACGACAGCGCCTCCTCCGACCAGGGCCTCACCGAGGAGGAGGAGCTGGCTTTCGTCGACGCTTCGGAGCGTGGCTCTTCTCATGCAGGCTGTGCTCTGGGCGGCCCTGCGTCCACGGCCGCGCCTTCGGCGCTGCGGGCCGACGCTCCAGAGTTTTCGCCCGTCGTCCAGGAGCTGATTCCGTGTTTCGAGGAGGCCAGCTACACGCTGGCAGAGTGCTCGGCGACTCCCGGGGTGGACTCTCGCTTCCCGAGGTGCACCGGCGGCGCCTCGGGCATCCCTGCTGCCGCGCTGCCGCCGTTCGTCAGTCGCCGTGTGGAGGGGTGGCCGCGCCATGGTCGCTACGGGAACGCTGGCGGCCCAGACTGCCAGGTGTAGGTGCCACTGTCAGCAGCGTGGGCAGAACGGCCAGACCTTCTGCGATGCACTGCTCGTCGTCTTCCTCGTCGTTGGCGACCGTTCACAGCTTGCAGAGCGGTGAACGCTTCTCGGATATTCTGCTTCTCGAGCTCTGCTACCGTGGGCGCAAGGCGGCGCCCTGGTTGATTGCTCGTATGGTGGTCTTCGAAGCGTGGCTCGACCCTCTGCTGCATCCTCGTGGGCAGACCCTCGCCCCAGCGCCCGAGTCTATCGAATCGGCCGACGATTTCTCTGACTTGACTTGGCGGTAGGGCCGTCAGTCTCCAGATTGCGTTTTGCTTGTGCTGCGCGAGCCGCGCCGACCATTTAGAAAATGGCCAACACGCCAGCCTTCGCATGCGGTGACCGCACCCATTTTGGCACACCCTTCGCACGTTTCGTTTCCCCACAGGGAGCTCCACCAAAACCTGGATGCCAGCGTTCGCATGCGATCACCGCACCCATGTAGGCATACCCTTCACACGTTTCGTGGCCCCATAAGAATCCCCACCGACGGCCCAAATGTCAGCGTTCACATGCGGTCACCGCGCCCATTTTGGTACACCCCTCACACGTTTCGTGGCCCCATAGGGAACCCCACCGAAGGGCCAAACGCAAGCGTTCACATGCGGTCACCTTCGCATGCGGTCACCGCGCCCATTTTGGCACACCCCTCACACGGTTCGTTGCCTCATATGCAGCCCCACCGAAGGCCCAAGTTCCAGCGTTCGCATGCGGTGACCGCCCCCATCTGGTACACCCCTCACACGCTGCGTGGCTCCATAGGGAACCCCACCGAAGGCCCGAGTGCCAGAATTCGCATGCGGTCACCGCGCACATTTTGGCACACCCCTCACACGTTCCGTGGCCCCATAGCGAGTCCCACCGAAGGCTCGAATGCCAGCGTTCGCATGCGGTCACCGCTCCTATTCTGGTACACCCCACACGTTTCGTGACCCCACAGGGAGTCCCACCGAAGGCCCAAACGCCAGCGTTCGCATGCGGTCACACATGCCAGCGTTCGCATGCACCCGCCGCATCCATTTTGGCACACCCCTCACACGTTTCGTGGCCCCATGAGGAACTCCATCGAAGGCCCCAGTGCCACCGCCCGCATGTGTCACACCTTTTCGCAGCCCCGTCGTGCGTTTTTCCCAGAGCACCAGTGGCAGCGCCCACATTGGCGGCCCCGCCCCACATCGGCACACCCTTCGCATGCTTCATGGCCCCATGGGGAGATCACTCGAAGGCGATTCCCGCAACGACGGTCTCACAACTGCCTATGGCTGGGATCATCGCCAGGACAATATTTTGTCCCAGTTGCTGTCCGAGGGGAAGTGGGTGTATATCAGTGGACATCCCGAGCAGGTGGGAACAAGGTGAGAAACAACCTTGGGCTGAACGGGCCTACCCAGTGCCATCGCGGGGGTGACTTGCGAATACCTGGGGCCATCTTGTCTCGGACGATATGCCCCTCGCCGCGGCTCCCTGGATCCAGACACCAAGGATGGTCCAGAGATGAAGTTTTTTTCCCCGGAAGGCTGAATCTCGGCGGCGAGCGAAAGGGGGAGTTGAGAAGGAGAAGGCCTTCTCAGAAGGTGGCAGGGCTTCTCAGCAACCCTCCCGCTCTCTGAAAAGTCTTCTGTGCCTTCGGGGAAGGTTCAGAGAGCTTTTCATACGGCTGGGGGGCGTGCGAGCCTCCCCAGAAGGCATCCTCCTTCTCACTTCCCCCTTACAGAGGGGATGCAGAGGGGATGCTTTCTCAGAAGGCATCCCTTCTGTCGGGGGGATGCCTTCTCGGAAGGATGCCTTCTCAGAAGGATGCTCTCTGAGAAGGCATCCTTCTGAGAAGTCTCCGCGCCGACAGCAATCCCTCGGGATGCCGCACCCCGTGGCGTGGAGCGCAGGCAAAGAGTCTCGAGCATCGCAGGGCAAACATTGGACTCCACGCCCCATGCGTGCACCTGGGCGACAACGCGCGACGGGGACCTCTTCCTCCTCCTCCTCCTCCTCCTCCTCCTCCTCCTCCTCCTCCTCCTCCTCCTCCTCCTCCCCTCCCCCTCCTCCTCCCCCTCCTCCTCCTCCTCCTCCTCCTCCTCCTCCTCCTCCTCCTCCTCCTCCTCCTCGTCCATCGGGAGGACCGACACGGGGACGGAAACAGGGGGGACGACGACGGGTGGCAGTTCCTGCGCACTCGGAGCACGAGCCGATGCCGGCGGCATCAGCGCGGACGCTGGCCGCTTGGGGCGGGAATCGCCGGCAAACGCTGCCAGTGTTAGGTCGGGCCTGTCCCTCCACAGGGGGGGCATTCAGAAATGGTCAACCAAATACTCTGGGGGCGATTCTATTGGGATTATTTTTGGACCATTCTGGCGTATTTGTTTGTATTTTTTTTCCAACCTTTCCTCCAAAATCCCCCCTGCAGGGGGACAGGCCCGACCTGATGCCAGCTTGGGACAGCATCCGCTGCCGGACACCGTCCCCGCCCTTGCGGCACCCCTCTCCTCCGACGAGGGGAGCATGCCGTGGCGGGCCCGACGAGCGGCAGCAACGGGCCCACAGATTACAGCTCTTGGGTGCCCCGAGAGCCTCCGCCGAGCTGTGCGTGGGCCGTTCGGCGCCGGCGGCAGCGGCAGGGGAACGGAGGAGCAGAAGACTCAGGGGAACAAAAAGTGGTATAAACATCAACAATTCGGAGGTCGGCGCGGATTTCTCGGATCGGCGCTGGGGCCCCCCGGCGGCGCCTCTGGCGCCGCCCCTGGCGCGCTCCGCGCGCCAGGGAGGGGGGTCCAGCGCCGATCCGAGAAATCCGCGCGGACCTCCGAGTTTTTACGTTTGTGCCACTTTTGGTTCCCCTGAGACTGCGAGGTGGGGGCACTGTCCCAGACATCCGGTGTCTTGTGTCTTCAACGCGGGCCCCAGACGCCGAAAACGAGGAAACTTTCTTGCGTCTTGATTGTTCACTACGTCGGAGATCTGGGGAGCCTTTTCAAGGCGACGCAGAAAAACGGGTTCGACTGCGCGGAGTTTTGCGCGGTTGCCGCCCGCGTAAGGTCGCGCGTAAGCGCCGCCGTGTCTTGTGTAGCGTGCTTCGCTGGTGGCGGGCGTAAGCCACCGCGTAAGGTCGCTATGGCATCGCGCGAGAGACCCTCTTCTTTGCGTTTCTCGCCTGCCTCTGCCCATGACATGCACCCTCCCTCGATCCTCCATGATCCTCCACCCTCCGCGATCCCCCTCCTCCCCCCCCCTCCTCCTCCTCCCCATCCTCCTCCTCCTCCTCTCCTCCTCCTCCTCCTCCTCCTCCTCCTCCTCCTCCTCCTCCTCCTCTCCCCTCCTCCCCCTCCCCTCCCGGCCCTCCCCCTCCCCCTCCCCCTCCCCTCCCCCTCCTCCTCGATCCTCCTCCTCCCCCTCCTCCTCCTCCTCCTCCTCCTCGATCCTCGTTCCTCGATCCTGGTCCCTCGTTCCTCGACGTCGCGTGCGCCCCGTTCTCTCGCTCGTCGCCCCAGTGGCAGCCGCAGCCGACGCGGCAGCCACGGCCGCAGGAGGTCGCCGCAAAGTCCGCGCAGCCCGTCCCGCCCAGGGCCGCGCGGCCTCCGCAGCGCCGGGGGGTTGCACGCCGCGGCGAGCCACGCCTGGTGCCCCCCCCCCCTCCCAGCGCGTGCCGTCGCCCTCCGGGAGGGGAGGAAGACGAGGAGGAGGAGGAGGAGGAGGAGGAGGAGGAGGGGGAGGAGGAGGAGGAGGAGAGGAGGGAGGAGGAGGAGGTAGGAGGGGGGGGGGGAGGGGGGGGGGAGGAGGAGGAGGAGGAGGAGGAAGAGGAGGAGGAGGAGGAGGAGGAGGAGGAGGAGGAGGAGGAGGAGGAGAGGAGGGAGGAGGAGGAGGAGGAGGAGGAGGAGGGGGGGGAGGGGGGGGGGGATCGAGGAGGAGGAGGCAGGAGGAGGAGGAGGAGGGGGAGGGGGAGGGAGGAGGGGAGGAGGAGGAGGAGGAGGAGGAGGAGGAGGAGGAGGAGAGGAAAGAGAGAGATGAAGGACGAGAGGAAAGACGATGAGAAGGAGGAGGAGGAGGTTGAGGAGGAGGAGGAGGACCCCCTCCTCTCCTTCTTTCTATTCCCTAGCACCTAGCACACCTTTCGGCGGTCGTGGTCTTCTCATCAGGGCGAACCCGAATTATGCTTTATCCGAGTGCAAATGGAAGGACTCCACATCGGAACCGTGCGTTATTCCAGCGCTGCCGCCGACCGATTGCCAGCATGTGTGACAGCCAGGACTGTGCGGCTTACTTTCCCTCTTTGAGCCAGCGGGCCACTTCGAACCGAAGAGAACCAACAGGTCGTTGTTGTTTTGTTGCTGGCGGTGACCCTGTAGGGTAATCCACAGCTACCGCCGCAGCCATTGCTTGTCGCCTGGCGTGGCTTGGCACTTCACCGTCCGAGGCCTTGGGAACCCGCGTGCCTCTTGCGATATTGAAGAATAATAATAAGTTGATTTGAGAAATGAGGAAGTATCATCTGGTCCCAGATCGAGCCCGTGCAGCGGGCGGAGGTGCACACATCCCGGGACATCAACTGACATGAGGCCCAGCTTCTCGACGGGGGAAGGCTGCCACGGGGCGGCGAGTCTCCACTCCAGCCTCTCTCCCTCCCTCCGCTCCCGAGGGCTGGACCTAGACGTTGTTTTGCTGGACTTCGGCTGTGGTGTGTTTTTCTTTTTCGCAGGGAGGTACAGGGAAACAGGTAGAGCAAAACGAACAACAAAACGAAAAACCACGTTCAGGTCCAGCCCTGCCGCTCCCCATCCTCCTCAGCCACCGCCTTCCTCTTCCCCGTGCCCGTTGCGTTGCTGCAGCCCGCGGCCCCTTCCGCAGATGGCCCCGATGCAGTCGACGCCGATGGACACGGTGACCCCAGATGTTCCTGAAGTGGAGACGCTGCTGGCGCGCGCCCCGGCGGCGGCTTGCGAAGAGGGCACGGCGAGGGTCTTGCGCAGACAGGGTGGCACAAAACATTGGAGCAGGGAGAAAGAGCGTCGAGAAACAAGAACGGCATACACATACACTTCTCGAAGGTCCGCGCGGACTTCTCGGATCTGAGGAGGAGGAGGAGGAGGAGGAGGAGGAGGAGGAGGAGGAGGAGGAGGGGAGGAGGAGGAGGAGGAGGGAGGAGGAGGAGGGGAGGATGGGAATGGGGGGGTAGGACGGGTGGAGGAGGGGCGGCCCGCTGTGGCCGTGCTGGGCCCTGGCGGGGACGCAGTGGGCCGCCTGGATCCAGTTTGGGCCCTCTCGGGGCCAGGCTTGCAGTCCCCAGGAGGCCTCCTGGGAACATCCAGGGGACGCTTGTCGCCAGGCGCGGGGGGCGTCCCCCACCTCGCGGGTCGATTCGGCACGGCCCCCCTGCGGGAGCGTGGTGGGAGGGGGAGGAGGAGGAGGAGGAGGAGGAGGAGGAGGAGGAGGAGGAGGAGGAGTGAGGAGGAGAGGAGGAGTAGGAGGGGAGGAGGAGGAGAGGAGGGGGAGGGAGGAGGAGGAGGAGGGGGAGGAGGAGGAGGAGGATGAGGATGAGGATGAGGAGGAGGAGGAGGAGGAGGAGGAGGAGGAGGAGGGGGAGGAGGAGGAGAGGGAGGAGGAATTCGGCATGACCCCCCTGCGCGAGCGTGGCGGGAGCAGGGCGGCCCGAGTCGTGTGAAGCCAGCTGCCTGCGGCAAGTCCAGCCGCTGGCCCCCGCCCCGCACAGGAAGCCGCAGCGCGCGACGCTTCGTGCCCCGAGGCTTGGCATAGCCGCAACATGTGACGTCTTCCGCTTCGTGCCAGGGTGTCTTTCCCCTCTTCCTCCTCCTGCTCCTCCTGCTCCTCCTCCTCCTCCTCCTCGTCGTCGTCGTCGTCGTCGTCGCTATGACACTACGCTACGCTTAGCATAGTGTCATAGCGTAGTGTTGCGGACACCTGGATGTGACACTACACTGACACTGCGCTATGGTTAGTGTAGTGTCATAGCGTAGTGTCGGAGACACCTGGGTGTGGCACTACACTATGACACTACGCTTCGGTTGAGGTCTGGGGAAAGGGAACAGTTTTGTTTGTTTGCCTTTCCTCAGGGTTTTGATTGACTCCGCTCTTGGAAAGATGATTCTACGCTACGATAAGCGTGGTGTCATAGCGTAGTGTTGCGGACACCTGGGTGTGACACTACACTGTGACACTACGCTACGGTTGAGGTGGGGGAGAAGGACAAGTTTTTGGTTGTTTGTTTTTCCTCTAGGTTTTGCGTGACTCTGCTCCGTGAAAGAGGATTGAGAGAGCGCGCCCGCAGGGCCCGAGCAAAGGGGAGGGGGGGCTAGGCTTAAGCTACCCCCCCCTCCCTTGAGCCGCCCTTGTTGGAAGCACCCCCCCCCCTCCCCCCCTTTTTTTTGCAAGGGGGGGGGCTTACAGCTACCCCCCCCTCCCCCCTTGGGCCCTCCCCGGAAGCTACCCCCCCCCTCCCCCCCTTTCCAAAGGGGGGATGGTGCTTAAGCTACCCCCCCCCTCCCTTGGCGCTGCCCTGCTGGAAGCTACCCCCCCCCTCCCCCCCTTTCGTGCAAAGGGGGGGGGGTGCTTGGAAGCTACCCACCTCCC